ATACAGATGTGATTCATTCACTTGACAACATCTTTTGGCTAGACAAAATATCGCATAGATTCATCTGAAATCTGATTCACGTTTAAATGTTCTTTGCGGGTAAACTTCATGTAAATTCTCACCTAATACAGGGCAGTACAGTAAAGCAACTTTGAAGTTAGTGAGATTAGTTTTTTCTGCAATCCAGCATTATTCACTAGAAGAATCGTTCTTGAAAATTTCAAATATTAACTACACAAAAAATGGTACCACTGAACTACTTAAGTGATTAGAAACCATTCAGGTTAATCTGTAGTATTTCACCATGCATCCAGATCAAAGTGATCTAAAATCTGGGCGACTGTTTTGCTCCTGTGTGGCCAAGTATAACAGTAGTTTGCTTTGACAAATCCATTTCTATGGTTTGAATTATTTCAGATCTTTCGAATCTGGCTTGCTGTCTTGAACAGACCGGCATACCTAAAGTGGCATGATCAGTTTGTCAATTGTATACAGACTGTATAGCCTGCATCGACACTTATTACAACCCAGTAGTTATTTCACTGCTCAACTGTGGTTTTTAAAGGGTTTCCGTTGAAAACTACCCTGCCAAGATGATAAGGTGTGATTTGACACAAGTATCATGAACTAGCAATATATACAGATTAGTTTGAATGGTTTCTAGCTACTTAGGTTTCTCAGTATCATATTTCACTAATTCATGGCACTTTTGTGTCAGAGAGTAAGCTTTATCATCGAAATTTGAGTGGATTTTAGACAGAACCTCATGAACACCACAGTTGCACGATTGAAAAGCTACTCATCTGTGAGAATTGTCGACGTGAACCTTACAGATTATAAATCATTTCCGAATAATTACAGAAATCGGATGTTGTTTTATTGTAAGTTAAAGGTAAGTTATTAGTGTATTTACTGATTATCTCTCGCGTACAGTGATTTCATTGCAGCAGTGGAAACTTTTATAATTCAACCATTCATATGTGAATCTTGCAGTATCGAGTTCCTTAGATGAAGCGTGGAAATTTTGAAGGTATAGAACCGTAAACTCAATAGAAGTAAGAAGGGACTTTTATTTATGAGAACAGCAGTTGAGTTTTACCACAGAGTCAATATACAACTGTAATAAAATGTAAAGTAAGAGATTTCTTCTAAATAAATTATGTTTTGTTCTCATAAATAAGATATTTACTGACTTGAATATGTCTTCTGAAATATTAAAGTGGGAAAATTTATTAAAAATTCAAAGCAATCGATTGAAAGCATGTGGTTTTCATTAGAAAAAAATGTGTGGTTTCTATACGATGGAAACTTTAAAAACCAAGAACATATCTTGTTATTCTTCTTACAGTGTCAAAAGCAATTACTTAGCAGAATTTCGAACTAAAGAAGAAAGTCATATGAGTTTGAATTGGCGGTGATTTTGGTTATCTTTCGGCATAAAATTCCTAGGTACAATCGATAGTTTCCAGTTAATGTTATCACTACAAAAAGTATCAGATTGTCTTGTTACTTACGTAATTAATTTTAGTCTCATTTTATATCTGTGATAATGAATGATAAACTTATTCTAAATGTACTAAGAAAATCCAAGTTTTTCATGTTGTTATCATACTGTATTCTTCAGGAAAGTTAACTACACCTATGAACCCTTAAGTCACCTTGTTAACAGAACTATAAATAACTCAGTCCCCATGCTGACTCAAGACTCCTATGTTTAAGAAACTGCTGTAATTACTGACCGTAAAACTTTGTAGTTGACCATAAATGACGTAGTAAAACTCTATAATGAACAATTCAAGAAGGAATAATGTACTGCAAAAAGACTGACCCAAAGTCCTCAAAACTTTATCAGCACCTATGAATAAACTTGTAACTCAAGTCTGATATTCTAACTCCTGCATAATTTGATGCTTATTTTCTCTTTGTCCGTCTAAATCTTTTTCGTCGGGTTAATGAAGTCATATAATCAACAATAATTTTTGTGACTTCAGAACAATTCCAGAAAAATACGTTTTACTTACACTGGGATATTAATTGTCAAATAAGGCAAAGATAAAACTAAAATGAAATTTATGGCTTACTCGGAAGGTGTACCCTCCAAATATATTCAAGGTGATGAGATAAAAACATTGGTATATATTATGAAAGGTTATGTACATCACTTTCAGTAATATGTCCCGTGGATCAATCAAGCGGTGTCGACAGAAGATATTACAGTTCAAATGGTTACACGTTACATCACCAGTCAAGATATAAGGTATTAAGATGACACATAAAGAAACAAGAAACAATCATGTGCTAAGAAGTGGAAAACATTGTAAGTAGATGGAGGAAGTGTAGGTGTAATATGACGTCTACGGTGAAGATAGTATAAAGATTCATCTGCACCACTATGATCAATCTGGAAGCAAATTACCTAAAGTTTACAACTATCAGTTTCAGCAGTTACACGGATTGCAATCAGGAAGTTGACATTCTTATGCTGAAAGTAAGATCTGGGGTAAAGACTTCGAGGATAAATAAAACAATTTTGTCCAATAAAAAAGGTACCAGTTGTACAGAATATGGTGTGAAAAATCATATAGTGAATATGATACAAGGAAGATTTGTTATATTCAATGAAGTGACTAAGCCAGGAGTTGAACTGGGGACTGTTTAAACTCAAAGCTAGTAACATACTTTAAGGACTCCAAGGCACAGGTGAAGAGTGCAATCAACAATTAATTTAATAAATATTTGTCAGACTGATTAGGGGAAATTCACTCTGCAGATCTAATTTTTTCTGCTTTTCAAAGTTTTCAAAGAAGCAAATTTTGATGGCTCTTCTTTAACATATTAACACCCATTGAACTGTCAGTCTTATTTGCTTATCAATCTGATATTTATATGTCTGTGGTGATTGACGACAGAATCAAAAAAAATGCCATTTTGTCTTGTCAAAGCAATATTATTTGAACCTATCTCTATGTGCATGTAACAGTATTCTAACAATAATAAGAATTTAGCAATTACCACAATAAACATTTATCAAATTCTCGTAAACAGATAACTTTCAGAAATGAAAACATATTTTCATTTCGGACAACAATGATAGGGCGTTGGAAGGATGAACAAGTTTTGTAGGAGAAAAAGTTTAACTACCTTCCACAAAATACAATGTCCTTCTTTATTTTCATTGATTTTTCAAGGATTACTGATTGAATGTATTTTTAAAGACCTCTTAAATTTAAACACAGATCACAAGGTATAAGAATTAGTTGTGAAAGACAGGCTTTCAAAATTTAGTGAAATAAAAATTCATTCCAGATCAGTAAATGGGCTGAGGAGTTAATAAACTGGGTTGGGGCTGTAATTATTTCGGCCTAATACAGAATCCAGACATTTAAATGAAAAAAAACATTATTGCAGAGTGATGAACAGGCTACTGACAACACTTCGGCTAACAAATCTTATAGCGACAGCTCTTTATCCAACTTCACTTTTCAACTGTATTCACAAAATGAAATCAATCTTTTTATCTTAGAAAGTTACCTAACAGAAGGAGGCAATATAAAACATACATCTTCAGGTAATGCAGAATAATTTACTTCTAACTTATTAATAGTTTGGCTCACCAATCGTAGAATTAGATTATAAACACTTACTGATCATTGGATGTAAAAACTACAGCTGACAACACTTGAGTGCTTAGTAAAGTTCTTCGATCAAGTATATGGTGCAATAACTAAGCTAAGTAAAGAAAATCCTAAAGTGGATAACATTAAAATTTATTCCCATACTACGTAATGCCAGTTCAAGTTCAACACCCAGAAGAGAAAGTAAAGAACAAAATTACAAAACAAATCTACACGTTAGCTATCAGGAAAAAGTGTAAGACAGTAAGCAACATCCTCCAGGAAAACTTCGCGGAAGAACATTGTAACTCTGTGAAACAGATGTGGAAAGTAACGTGCATAAATCTGTTAGGTAACGAGAAAAAAGAAGACGAGGAATGGATCTCCACGGAAACATAGAAGCTGATAGAACAAGAAGAGGAAGGTGGTGAAGCAGAAGATGAACCAGTGCACTGCAGTGCAGTGCAGTGCAGAGATGAACAACGAAAAGAGGAACTGAACACAACCTATAAAACACTGCACTGGACTATGAAGTGAAGAAGAGTGTGTGGAAAAACAAAAAACACTTCCACGACACATTGACCAGTGAAGCAGAACAGGCTGGATGTGGGAGAGACAGAGACCTGACAACACTATATCAAGTAACCAGGCTGATATTTGTGATGGAAGAGATCAACACAGATGAAGGGAATGAAAGATAATGAGGGAAACCTAGCTACCGAAGAGGACAAACAAAAGAGACGATGAGTGGACCACTTCAAAAAACACTTGAATCGACCACCACCAGCACAACCTGTAACTCGTACAGAAACAACACCAGCAACCGCATAACAACAAGTGAACACAAGCCCTCCAACAAAAGTGGAAGTCCTGAACGCCATCAAGCTACTGAAATCCAGAGAAGCATCAGAACTACATGTAATTCCACTAGAAGCACTGACAACAGACTCAAAGACAACAGTGGACATGCTCACACCAATGCTGCAGAAGGTCTGGAAGGAAGGAAAGGTGCCTGCCACATGATTAGGAGAAGGAGTGTCTAGTCAAACCTCCAAAGAAAGGAGAAATAAGTCTTTGCAAGAACTGGCACCGAATCGTGCTCCACTCCTCTCAACCCAAAACAAAATACTAAACCCCATCATCGTGCAGAGACTAAACAATGCACTGGATTCTAAATTACGACCGTAACAGGCTGACTGGATGGCTGGATTCAGGAAGAACAAATCATGTGTGGATCAAATTGCACCACCACGCATCATCATAGAACACAGCATAGAACGAGAGTCCACTACACCCCTACAACAACAAGCTCACTGATGATTTTGAAAAGCCCTTCAACACCTTCAACCGACAAGTGATTCGGCAGCTGTTCCAACACTACGGGAGAACACAAACCTTTATCAACCTCATTCAAAAGCTATATGAAGACGCCACATGCCAAATGATCCACAATCGAAAGCTCAGTGACGCCTCTGAAGTGAAGACAGGGGACAGGAGTGAGACAAGGCTGCTGTCTACTATCACCGATAATCTTCCTGACGGTGGTGGACTGGATCACGCAACGGACAACTGTGAGGAGTGAGGAGAGAAGCATATGCTGGATGGATGGATGGATGAAAAGAGCCGAGAAGATTTGGATTTCGACGCCGATGATGATCTATGACTTATGTCTTTTCTCACAAACTCGAAGATCTGTGAGCGAAAAGCAACAAGTTGACAGAGGGCTTAGTGCAGCGAAAACAGGACTTGATTCAAGTGAACATAGAAAAGACGGAGGTGATGAAGATACTCAACCAACAACAACATTAACTGAGATAAAAACAAGAGGCACCAATCACCATGAACGGGAGAGACCTAAACCAAGTAGTCTCAGTCACCTACGTAGACAGCATCGTTTCAACTGCAGGTGGTGGCACAGATGAGAACGTCGAAGCAACCAGGATGGGAAAGACAGCAAGACAGGTCTTCCTTCATTAACCTGAAATCAGTGTGAAGATCTACTGCACTAACCTGCACTTCACTGCACTGCACTGCACTCAACATAAAGCGTGAACAAGATCCGGATTTTCAACATCAGCGTCAGTCAATTCAGTGCTTCTATGTGATGGTTCACAATCTTGACGCCTCACGGAAAGCATCTCCAACAACCTAACCACGTTCATCAACATTCCAACCATGCTCACTCGATGCTGGAGGTCAGATCAGAAGGCCAGAAATAAAAAACAACTGGGAACTCCATCAGGTCAAGGAACCAACCAACAACACATCACCCAACAAGTATGCAGAGAGAGAAAGTGGGGATTGATTGGGCATACACTGGAAAAACCATTCGGAGACATCACGTGTCAGGTCAGGTGAGGTGGTCAAGTGGAATGCAGAGGGGCAACGACGAGTTGAACGTCCCAGCTGAGGCTGACATGGAGGAGATTGTGTGAGGAAGAGATGAAATCTTGTGGTTAGTTGTGTCGTGAGGTTGAGCCGGAGTGCAGAGAAGAGAGTGAAATGGTGACGTGCTAGTGAAGCCCTATGTTCCACTAGGAACCCAAAGGACAAATAATAATAATAATTGCTTATTATAACTTTTTCTTTGTTTTTGATTGTATATAAAAGGAATGAAATAATTTTATTTGCATTACTACTAGTATGACGCTGAGGTCTTGGATATGGTTTATTTTACAAATACAAATGATCCGGTAGGTCAGTTAAAAATACCGTCGGGAAAGAAATGTTTCATCCGAGGAATACCCCTTTATTGCATATGTCTTGCTTTATCCTTGTGGTATTTCACTATTTCCTAACGAATTATACGACGTTTCAGATGGTTAGGATGTAACAACAATTTTCTTCGTTCTTGCAAAGCTTAAGTATGCTAAAATTATTTTGACTTCCCACTTACCTTTTTGAAAGGGTGAGAATCTATTTGTGAGATATGTTTATATTCGGAGACAAAGTGAATGTACATTATTGTAATCGAATGCCTAAACTGTAACACAGTAATAAAATAATGCGGATGTCATGCTTCACAGTATCTCCGTTCCCTTCTAACATCTTAACTGCACATTACTGATTACTTACACTGGATGTCGATCATGTACCTGCAAATTAACTTTCTTATACTCACCTTGTTCACACTACTTGCTGTTCGATGTAACATATAGTCAACAAAACTTGATGCCATGAGTTTAGATTTACATCGTTTTGTTAAAATACACTAACAGTTAACAACTATCAGGTAAGATGAAATCTTGAAAAATTAAAAGCATAAAACGCACTCAATTTAGTCTGTAATGATAGACAGTTTGCGTGTCAGCCTATTTACAGAAAAGGAGCAAAGGCAAAAGAAAAATATGGTTAAGTAATTTTCTATTCTATTATTTACTTATTCGTGAAGAATTGTTATAGGTGAAAACAGTATTATTCACGTAAGACGCAGCTGGTTGTGAACAACACAAAACGATTATTCAAAAGAATATTGATACTGTATATTTTTGCTTTTACTTTACTCGAATCAACGGTTGCTGGGAAATATGTAAGGATTCATTTAAATTCAGCCGAATCAATTGTTTGTGTAAACAATATTCATCTGTGAATACATATATTCTTGATTAATATAATAAAGTTAGTTAAGTATCTTAAAATTAGCTTGTGGCAGTTTATTTCAATGTTATCAAGAAATTTAGAGAGAATTTCTAAAAATAGTGTCAATTAGAGTCTCGAACCATAATAGCTTTTTTCATGTTTTAGTGAAATAATACTGTTAAAAAAACTGATTTATGCACTTGGACAGTGCATGACAAACGCATGTAAATGGTGAATAATTTAATACAGAAAGCTAAGGACTTCTGTGTTCCATGGGAGGAAGTAAAATAAAATAAAATTGATATAATTATGAAAGTTAAAATGTTGCTGAAACGTTATCCAGCAAATAACAGAGTAGGACCATAAAATCTTGTTATCCTTCAACCAGTCCGAAATCACTCTGAAACGACCAATTACAATGTCAGTTGAAGTGGGGTTGTATCTGGTGAATAATAATTGTTTTGTTTAAATGTATCTATCTTTGGTGAGAAGTTTAGCCTTTATTGCCTCGGATCTTCTTGTGATCGATGATTTTTTTAGAAAATCAACGCAGTGACCCTGTTATGAAACTTTTGCCGTTGTAGACATTCCTGTATATGTCTGAAAATATTATAAATTAGGAATAGGAACACTTTTAATGGTCATTCTTATAAATCAGACTATAAGACAGTGTCAAGCATAGATCCTGGGATTTGACACTCTGGAATCGTATGGAAGAATAATTTCGCCTTGAATACGATAAACGTAAGCACTAAAAACTAAAAAGAAATGTAGAGTATTTTCTTGGTAGTGTGAAATATTAATATCTTCTGTGGCTTCTCACATTTGTGATGAAAAAGTTGTAAAAGACAAACTTTTTTTAGTAATTTGTTCGTTGGCATTCATTCTCTAGGTTGTTCAGGATCAGACCAAGGAAGGTGAGGTGCTGCGGTTTTATTACACACATCATTTTACTGTTAGCTGTTTTGAATCAGTGAGAAGGATGTCTTACTAGGTTAACGTTTCCTATTATTTAGAGCTCAGTGGTAGAATGTGATGGCACCGATAATGAAGTATGTTCCCTCAATGATTGTTACCTGTGTTAAAGTATGAAACTTCACCATAAGTTGCTGAGGTCCCGACTGAACTCTTATCAAACCAAGTCATTCAAACGAGTCAAACACAAGAGTTCCTGTGTTCATTACAATGCTTCAGTGCTAGCCTTATATTAGGGAGCTAAGTTGTCCAATGCTGGTTATTTCCAAAAGAAACCATACAGGTCTGAGCAGTCATGGAATGCTGTTAGTAATTTAAATCAGTTTCATAGGTGTACTTCTGTGAGATGGTCAGTATTAGCCAGTATTCCTAAACGTAACGCACATCCTTTAAATATTCACTTTTCAATATTCCCTTAGCATGTTGCATTTATTAAATTTATGGGTATATTTACAATTTAACTGCTCTATTGAATTGAATATTTAAATCTAGTCAAAAGTCTCAGCAATGCTTAATATTGTTTTGCAATAAACTTAACCTTTATGTTCATAATTTATGATACTGGTAGGAAAGGCATACATATAATGAAAAAGGAAATGAGATGATAAGATATTTGATAGGTTGTATAAGTGACCATATTGTTGTTACTAAGACCATCGTACTTAATTTCCTGTTGTTGTTTTCAATTTAAGGCGCCACTGTCTGATTTAAAGAACAAATATACTCATATGTCTATGTGTTCATATAAAGATTGATTTTAAAAGATTTCTTTTCCTTCCTTCTTATCTTTACTTGCTTTATTGCCTGCCTTTCAGTACTCAACAGTTAGGTGTTTTCATTCAGTCTATCATAAAAAAAAGACTTTATTTTTTCTAAATTAAAAATTACTAATTACCAGAAAATGATTAGCGAAATGTTTATTAAAATATTCATTTCTTGTTTATTTACATTTCGAGGTATTAATTCTGTAGTAGTATATGACGTCACTGGAGCAGCTAATGCTAGCTGGTTTATTTCTCATTTCGTACTAATAACACTTAATACACAATTTTTAAAAAGAAAAATTATTTAACCATTGAAAACGTAACTTGCTTTAAGTCATAAGAATTGAGAAATGTATAATCAAACAGAAATTTGACTGAGTAAACCAATAATCATTTTCATTCATTCATACAATATGACTGTTTTCATACACTTAAGATCAGTATGTATGCCTTTATCTTAGCTCGATTTCCGGTTAGATAAGTAATTTTAACATGCATTTTAACCACGAGCAAAGTAAATGCATCTTTGTTATTGAAAATAACTAAGTATCGTAAAAATATCATACACGTTAGATCAACTAGAAGGTGATAATAGGCTGTACTGAGAAGTAACCATATTTTGTGATTTGTTATAGTCCTTGCTGAAGGCAAGTTCACAGTAGGAGTGATGATCAATTACTAATTTTATGTTTGCCATATAAGTGCTTCTAAATAATTGTCGACGTTCAAAACTTTGAAATTATTCTAATAATTTAAAATATCACTTTATGTTAGTAAAATGTTTTTTTGCCACTAGTCCGTGCTTTTAGACATATAGACAAATAAATATATACTATGGATAACTGCTAAAACCAATCTAGCAAACAACTATTAAGGGATAACAATCTTTAAACCCTGACCGTTGCATGAAAAACTACCAAAGATACAATGTCCTTATGCACAAATGTCAACGATAATATTGTTAGTATTGTTAGTATTATATGACACTGAAAAAGAGGATCATTCATAGAAATAAAGACAGTATGAATGGATTACACTTGCAGTGTGTAATCTCTCCAATTTGTTTTAAGTATTATCAAGAAACGTTGCTTGATAAGCATATCACCTGCACTAAGTATGCCAAAGTAAGAGCAACCAAAAAACTTTCTCAGTAGCATCATATCTTTATTTCTTAGTATTTTCATTGTTTCATTTTATGTTATAATAAGCAACTAATACTTAGATAAACCTACTTTACACTAGATAAAACAAACTATATGTAGAAAAATACCAGAAGTATAGGTACAATATTATTCAGTTCTCATGCTAAACTGATGACAAATTTCTTTAGGGAAGCTTCTTGGTCAGATAACAAAAAAACTCAATTATAAGTCTTTCCTAGAAATTAATTATCTATATCTTGAAGAAAGCTGACATGTTTCAAATCATTTTTTGTTGTGTAAGAATTTATTGCTGTCTAATTACTTGGTTTTTATCACATTTTAGACAATTGCTAAAATGTCTCTTAAGTCTTTGAACAGCCAAATTATTGAATTTGTAATCTATTTGACTCAGTGGAACATGTACTAAAATTAAAATGTTATATACCCCTATTTTTGTATACTTTTTGCCTATA